TCTCCAGCAAGTGCTGCCAATTCGCCCAGGAACATCTTAGCTGTTTAGAGCAACCAAAATAAGCAATTCCATTTTCAACCTTTGAAAAAGGACAAAACCAGTTGAAAGTACACAAACACATACCCTGCCAAAGTAGATCACCAGGGTGCATGGTCGCAATGCCAACAGCATTCAGTTGCCTGCGATCCGCTGGTTGGTCAACAAGGAGCCGTGATTGCATAGCCCGGTCACTCAAAGCAACCTGGGGGAAGAGGCTGCGCTACACAAGAAAGGATTGGGGTGTAATCCTTAAAAACTAAACTAACATTGGTTCTTGGAAAAAATGGGTATCACCTGATCAAACCAGAAACTGATAGCCATCCCAGGATTACTCGCGCGTTGTATGCTTTGGCTTTCAGCCATGGATAGTTTTGCACTTGGCCAGTGATGTGAAGGTTTGTAGCAGTGAATTGCCTCTGACTACAGGGTATCTTGTTCTCACTGCACCATTGTCGAAACATCTTATAGGTTTCCTTTAATGGTCCAGGATCTGCCACAGGATCACCCATAGAGCGGGCAATCATGAGGATGCCCTCTGCAATCACCACCAAATAGATACCAAGATTCAATGCATGCATGATACACCAACGCCTAGGCTCACTTGTGGGTTACTGCGTGGTGGGCTGGTATTTTTCCTTCCATCAACCTATAAGTAAAAGAACTATGAACACTATTTACGACATCATTAACGTGGTTCATCTTTGGGCCCCAACAATAACAAAAACATATATGCTACAACCAAGAAAGGTTCACTTGCGAAACGTGAAAATTTGGCAAGTGCACCATCGGATTCTTGTTCTCATCCGGAAGACAATCGCGAATAAACTCCCTTGTGGTCAAATAGTCCCATTGGTGGTCAAAGCATGTAAAGAGCCTCCCAAACCTCAACAGGGGATTGCATCTTGGCTAGTGGGGTCTCCTGAAATTTGGTTACTTTCAAACTGAACAAAAATTGTTTTTAAAATGGGAGGGCCTTGGCAAGCGCACAGCTTCACAACGATGACATATGTGTGCACATTTCCAATACCGCTCCCACAGCTCTAGCTGCTCAACGTGCCATTTCCAGTCACCACGATATTCCACTATAGCAAACGTAGCAGAAAGTTTTTCGGTGTTCCTAGACTGCCTCCGCCCCAGCTTGAAGCCTGCAGCCTCCGCCAAGGCTGGAGTTGGCCGATGACCTTGCAAAGCCAGGCGCATGGACCAAGCTGCCCGGGCCCAGATTGGTCGAAGGGTCTCCTTAGATGGACCCCGGTACAAAACATTCCTGGGTTTGGTATACGTGTTGCAGATGGTGACCATAAAAAAAAAAAAAAAACATTTTTCCACTTCGGATTGAAGAACCAATTGATCATATATATATTGTATTGGTAGGTTTAAGAAGCAGGGTTTACTTGTCATGTGGTTTATAAAAGCCAGTTGAAGGATGGGTTAATTTGATGACAGTACACGTATGCCTAAATTCACATATATGCATGTTTATTTGATCACAGCTAAGTTCGTTTAGCAGCAATGCTTTGGGATTTACGAATATACAATAAAATGCTACTAATACTGAATAAAGATGCCAAACTCATCATATATTTGATAAGACAAGGTTCTATTCCACAAGTGCCAACAGCCTCTTCTGATGACACAATGAAAAACAAAAACGTCTTCTGCCAACTTGCACCTTGAGATGTGGGATCATGAGCCGACAGGGGAAAATAAATAAGAGTGGGCTTTAGCAACCAAGGAAACAAAATCAGATCCAATAAAACCGGGGCTAAAAACCACTGAAGTACATTTTGCCTTATGCAACAAAGGGGATTGCAGCGTCAGGCAAATGAACTTGTCTTGGTGCGTTGCACTATAAACAGCTTCATCACCATAAATTGCCATGGGTATGGCGCCAGTGGTGCGTCCAGGATGGTCCTTCGCCCAATCGTAGATGTCAGACCAATGGGCCCAGTACTTCCTTAGCTGCAGCTTCTGGTTGCAACCACAGATTCATATGCTTATCCCCATATGGCAAATCCCAAGCCTATTAATTTTAAAATATGCTATCAACTTCCCACGCTACCTGTGTGGTTGCAATGGTGATGAGAAAGCTCCCCATTTGCATTTGACCCAGGCTGATCTATATATATATATAATTATATAATATTTTTATTTAGCATATGTTATAATTACCGTCTCCTATTTGCAAATACCAACCCCCATCCAGGTGGCCACCAAATTTATTGATCTTATGCATGCCCTGTGAGCTTCCCATCCCCCAGAAGCAGGAGCTTTGGAAAGGCAAAGAACTTTGGATACAAAATCAGGACCTGTGCTGGGCGGGATACTGTGGCGATGAATTCTAAACCGCAAAATGATTTAGAGGCAATCAAGCTTCATCACCTCTTCCTTGCTAACATTGAGGCGTCCAGTTCGGTAAAGCCAGTCCAGCAGTTCATGTGGGTCCCACATCCCCAACTTCGCTGGTTTGGTTTCTTCTGACAAAGGCGATGTTCGTACTACTGTATCCACATAAGCGACATCCAAGGGTAGCCGAACAAATCTGAAAAAGTCTCTGTTGGCATTGGTCTCCTTGATCTTAGAAAGCTTGGCTGTTACAGGGTGCACATTGGCAATGCCAACTTCCTTCAGGGAACGTATGCGGCACAAACGAATTTCAACATGGCATGAGAACCTATATATAAACGTTGATGTCTCAACATCACATTGTGCTCAAAAAAAAGTGAATGTTCGCTAAAAAGTTTGGAGCACTATCAATTTCAGGCCCCCTTCATGTTGAGACATTCAAACATGTTTGGAAACATGTGCAGGATACTGATGAAGGGTTGAACAAGTATCGGTTGAAATATCCCATTCCCACAGGGGCCAGGGAGCTTCGTCTCAATGCCCACTCCTCTACCACGGACTGAGCATTCTTCACTGTACCTTGCTGGACCAAAAGCAGAGTTTGGAAACTTGGTGGAAGCAGAACCCACACTATCGATGTACTGCTGTATCAACATTGTTACAGTACTTTTTCTCATCTAGACCCAAAGTGTGCTTGAACGGCTAACATCAATGCAATCCCAGTTGCTCCTGGCACTTTCGGTACCATCACCCAAGCGGCTCATCCTTGGCGAAGTAATGCCAGGCAAAACCAAGGGAAACTATTAGGAGCATTATTCTTTTTATGTTTGGCTGCAAACATGTTAGTACTAATGGGTTCTCGTCGAAGTTCTCGTTATATTTATAATATATTATTTTAACAATTTTGTGTTATTCTCCCCTTAAATAAAGTTAACACCAAATCCCATGGCCAGCACTTCCAGTTGCCACCAGGAGGCAAATGGGAAGCAAATCTTGGCGCTGCACCTCGACCTGCGCAGGGGGCCAAGGGTCAAGTGAGGGCAGGGGGACATATTTAATCTGGCTTTTTTTTGTTCTTGATTAGATTCCAAATGCGGTGAACAAGCAAGAAGTGACTGTATCTTTTTTTTCCACATGGAAACCGCGCATGATCTTCGAAATAGACCCCCAAATCCAATCCCTTTCCAGTCATTTGAATAAACCAAAGCAACAGTACTGGGTTTTTGATGGCATACAAAATTTTGTTTCGGGACTGGCTAATCGGAGGCATGAGGCTTTCACATACGCCAAGCAATTGTGCGAAGGAATCACCAAACCCACATGGCAGTGTTTGCTGCGTGTTCCCCCCAAAAAAACAAAAAGCCTTTTTAAAGTGTCCAATCCTTTTAGTGGGCATGTATTTCATTTCAAAAGGAACACACGCAGGCTCACTGCCACCCCACAAAAGGTGACGAACATCACGCGCACAATGCTAGGTGGTCCATCTTTCTGGAAACGGCATGTTACCTATTTTTTGGCCTTAGCTTTGGCCTTCGCCTTGCTAGCAGCCTTGGGCTTCGTGTGAGACTTGATTGTGTCAGATATCTTTTTGTATTTCTTCACTTCCACTTCCAAAGCCTCAAAGTTGATGAACAATAACCCACATCAAAACATAAAACACACCACAACTGCAGGTGCAGCATTTGTTCATCAAGAAACATTGGTTGGGACCCTGAGGGATTCTTTGTTCTCAGAGCTGCAAGCACGTGCCAAAGCAAGCACGAGGTCCTCCTTGCATTTCCCCAGCTTGTCCATTGACAATTTCAAATCATTCGTGAGGGCAGTCTTGAAGTGTGAGCTCCTGAGCGCTGTAGGCTAATGTGGCTGTGGACTATGGTTTATTTAATAACATCCCTTCAAGTTACAAATCAAATCAACACCTATGATGCCCAAACCCAAACCGTGCTACACCATGTGGTGAACTAAAGTTGAAATTGATATACAATTAATTGGCATTATGGTGACATTCATCTCACAGTTTTTTGAAGTACATATATAATATGCATATAGCTGGTGGTGTTTCCTTAGACAAGTGACACGTCCTGGCACAAAGTCAACGAATTTTGCAAAGCTTGGGATTCCGTCAAGTGCTTGTGTGCGGTGTTGTTGACCTGAGTGCGCCAAACAGCATTCAAACATGCGGCACAACCCCTGGCCACACAATATATTATATATATGTGTGTGTGTGTATGGATGGATGCATGTATGTATGTATGTACGTACGTATGTATGTATCTATGTATGTATGTATCTATGTATGTATGTATGTATACATATAAAGTGTGTGCATGTATATATAAAGATGTCCTTGCGCACACACCTATGCATATGGATATGCATACATCGCGTGTGCAGAATCTAAGAATCAAACTGACTGTGCAACTTGTTCCAAGCTCTTTTCCTTCTTCTCTTTCTTGGGCTTATCTTGGTTTCTCGGTCTTTGGTCAGGCAAACCTGGGGTGCCACCACCGACATTCATGTCTGTCGCGAAGGTGTCAGGGTTGGCCATCTCTTCAAGCGCTGCATCCCTTGGGCGGGCTAAAAAGATACAGGCATGTGCGCAGTGCATGGCAAGATCACTTAGATGAGTGACATACTTGGGGCTGACAGGAACAAGTTCCAACAAGGCACATAACATTGAGTGATTCCTCTTGGTTGAGGTCAGCTTCTTCACGCAAAGTGGTAGAGGTCGCGAACTTTCGTTTCTTTGTTTCCGTCATACCTGCGTAGTTTCTGTACGTCCACAGCTTCTCCTCTCTGGGGAAATCTGGGTTCCTTGGGCAAGAGGTTGTTTGAGAGTTAAGAAGATATATGCGCACACAGTTTCACAAAACAACAGCAGCAGCAACAACAACAACAACATCAGATATAGTGCTGCTGTGGCTCACACGCACAAACCTTCCTTTCTTTCCTGCTGGCAACCTAGCCTCCTCTGCCAAATGCCTTTGCTTCAAGGCTTCTGCTAAGGTTGCTCCTAGTTTTTCTTCCATCTTCTCCATCGTCCACCACTCCCATAACTCCACGTTAGAGGTGCTGTTGCTCTTTTGAATTTCGATCAGCAGGGTTGACTTTTGCCAATTGGCTTTGCAACCTACGTAGTGCAAGTAGAGGTTGTGCATTGCGTGCTTGCCTCAGCTGGGAAAGTTTGTTGAGAACAGCAAGTTGGACTATACACAAAAATTGCCCTCTTGAAAAACATTGGTATATGATTGCAAACTAGTTACACTTCATAGCTTCTTCAATTTTCTCCTTCATTTCTTCGGGGGGTGCCTTGTCAGATTCTGATCTGATGTTGCGGTAGAACCTCATGTACAAGGCTCTGGGTTGCAAAGGTCTTCCATACTTGTCACAGCGCCAGGTTTCCAACGCTTGAGCTTCATGAGCAGGGGGGTTTTGTTTTGGATGGGGAGCTGTTGCGCTGCGTGCTTCAGGTGCGCTTGTGCTGGGCGCTGCTTTGGGTGCGATTGCGCTGGACGCTGCTTGGGGTGCTGTTGCGCTGTCTGCTGCTTCGGGTGCGCTTGCGCTGGGTGCTGATGGTGCCGATGGCTCTTTTGCTTCGGTCCTGGCATCACTAAGCTCTTCTTGTGTATCTTGCTCTGCAGCTGAAGTCTCTGGTGTTTCTTGTTCTACTGTGGGTGTCGGTTTCTCTTCACTTTCCAAGTCCCATTCCTTGGTACTCTCTGGCAGCCGATTTTCACTTTCCAAGTCCTCTTCCCTGGTACTCTCCTCTGGCAGCCGATTTTCGCTTTCCAAGTCCTCTTCCCTGGTACTCTCCTCTGGCAGCCGATTTTCACTTCCCAAGTCCCTGGTACTCTCCTCACTCCTTGGTGCCTCACCATCAGGATGAGCATTGGACGAAGGTTCACCAATGGCCGGGGTTGTCGGTCCATGCTCATCAGCCTTTGCAGCCGCTGCCAGAGCAGAGGCCCCACCCAATGACTCAGCGGGTGATGGAAGCTCTTGGCTAGAACCACCAAACTCAGTCTTTGTGGGAAATCTTGCTTGAAAGGCTACCCTCATGTCATCTGCACCAGAAACGCAATATGGATCCCACCAAGGTGGCTGGTAGTCATACCACGAATTCTGCTTCCATCGTTGCCAATATATGTAATCATCATAGTAACCCCCATGTCCATGCTGCCACCATGATTGGCCTTTGCTACCCCAATAATCCCTCTGACTGTCATACCATTCCTCTCCATCATCCAAATTCAATTTCCTGGGAGTAGGCGCAGCTTCGACCTGGTCTGAATCTGCTGGACTGGTGGTTGCAACTGTCGTGGGTGTGCTCTTTTCACCTTCCTTCCCGTTCCCATCTCCACTTTTCACATGCTTTGCCACATCACCATCAACCTTGGTTGCCGGCAAAGGTGTGTGATGGCTAGTGACAGGGCGAGGTGTGCTAGCTGGGGTAGTAGGAGAGCTGCTACTAGGCACTTCAGACACTGCACTGGTCGGGGACTTTGCTGGCATGGGGACTGCTTTGATGGAAAGGCCACTGGATTTCTTTCCACCTGGGTCAGGAGTCTTACCACGTGCGCGTGTTGCAGGGGTCTTGTCAGGCACAGGTGCTACCTTTGAGGCAGCCGCGGCTACCTTGTCTTTTGCTTGTTGAAGTATAGCCTTGATTTTATTGGGGTCACTTTGACAAAACTCTCCATTCTTGTCCGTCTCATCCGAAGCTTTGCCTTTTCTTCCCATGAGCCTGCAAAGACAGCATCTTAGATTATGTTTTATTGAAAAATAAATCGCATCATCATTGAAAAAATATTTCGGAATGCCAACGTGTTTAGGAAAAAAGCCAAATCACGGTTTTCACGGTTCCACCCCTGTCTGTCACGGTTCCACCCCTGTTTGTCACGGTTCCACCCTGTTTTTCACGGTTCCTATTTCTGGTTCCTGGGGTATGGTTTTTCAAAAGCATTCAAACCTAAGCATTGGGCTCTCACACCAGCGTCGACGACGCGGCCAGCAGCTAAGCAAAATGCTCTGGTGGCCACTGCGGTGCCAAATATGGTAATGTTAGACAATCATGTGTTGCACATGACAAGTGTCATAAGTAAAAGGTCGACAAGCACATATACTTCGCACACAATTTCTTTCATCTCTGAACCCGGTGTTGCCAAAAGCAGGTTGCAGCATAATTAGCTGATTGGCACACATAATTTTGAATGCACACTAGTGCGCAGGTATGTGTACATATGTGCAGCCACACACCCGTGTTCATGTATCCTTTGAAACTCTAGGTGTATCTTTCTTTATTGAATAGAATTTTAAATTGGTTTGTGTTAACAACACACGCTGTGAAGGGCTGCATGTGTACACCCGCGTCATGAATTTCACATATGTAATGTTGAAAATTCAGCAGCCTATCCCAACAAGAGCTTGAAAGTCTTCTTCACCTGCTGGGGTGTCAGTGGTGCAAGTGTCACTGGTACGTGGACCTGAGGCTCAAATTTCTTCGTGGAGATCTCTTTCTTCAAGAACGCCAGGACGGAGTCCTTTTGGGGCAGAGAGATCTTGAGAGCCGTTGAAAATTATATAACAAGATCAGTTCCCAATTTAAAAAACATAAGAATATTGAGATAATTGTATAACCCATGAATATGCCCAAATCCCTTTTCTTGATGTTTCCTTTTTTGGGATCCATCCCTCCAGTTAGCCAAGCTTCTAGTTGAGCTGGTTCCCACATCTCTCGGGTGGCCTAAAGACTTCATCAATGCATATGGAAGTTGGGAAGTTGTATGAATGTTGTTTGATTCAACCAAGTAGCTCCGGTAAGAGGCATGTCCCTTCTTTGAAAGGAATCTGGTACTCCTGGAAGATTCTTCAAGTCCTGATTTGTTTGCAGTTTTGATATTGAATCGAATAATTGATGTGCAAATATACTCATAAGATAAAAACCACATGCCAAGTACCATACATGATAGGTCCCCAAACATGTCCTTAGGGGACCTATATGATTTGGCAAGTATCAATGCACCACTTCTTGTGGTAGCCAGCAATAGCACGGCAGAAACGAGCTGGATAGCTCTGTGTTTCCTTTAGCTTTGGCCCACCACTCCTCAATTGTGTGCTGAATACCATGTTCAGAAAACCGCATTCTTCTCCAATATTGGAAAGTTTGGGGGTAAGCTGGTGCCTCTAAAAAACAAAAACATGTATAGTATATATACAAGTGTCACTGAAACTTTTGGGGCATCACTTGCTTGTTTCTTGGACTTCTTCACAATTGTCTTCTTTACAATGCCATCGGAGTCCCACTTGTGCTTGGCCTTGTCTCCCTTTTTCAGGCGTGCCTGCACCGTCAACATATGGAGCCATGGCCTTGGAAAGGGGTTGAGTGAGGATGCAGGGTAGGTCCCTGTATGGAAAGTTGCTAAGTTTTTGAATATATTGCGCCATTCACATATTACAATTACACCACGTGGAGTTCTTTGCCAAGGGTCGAATTGCCAAATTCGATGCTCCTCTTCATGCTTTTACTTCCAAAGAGCCCCATCCAACTTAGATTGGCGAAGGATGAGTTTCTGTAATTAAATCTAATAGGCCATGGTGTATAATCCAATACATGATGTTGAGATTTTGAAACAAGGCACTATCTCACAAGGGAGCCAGGTGTGAAGCCACTCATGCATCGATTCACGTTGAGGCACCATTCAATCACTGGCATGTAAGGGGCCACCGAACTGCCTGGTTGTTCCCCTCCCCAAAAGACTCGCCTGGCCACGCAGAGTAGGTTTAAGGCACCCCATCGTGTAGCTATGCAATTTCCCAGTTGGGTGCATGCCACACTGGTATCACCAAGGGGGCAAGCCCTACTTTTCCCAGTTGTTCCTGACGAGATCCAAATATGGTGAGAGCATGGCAGCCCTCCGTGGCATAAGCCACCAGCTCTAACCCTCAGGACATACTGAAGGGCAATTAGCAGGCCCATCCTTAGTGGAGCTGGTATAAACGCTTTGTAAAGTGGTACTACGTTTGGTTGGCTAAAATATTTATTGAATTTTTGGCACCCTATATGACAATGCTGGTGTGCAGCTGGATTCCTCATATATATATACACACATATTTTATAAACAATCAGAATATGTGTATATATATATAATGTTACTACAAAATGGGGATACCCAAACTGGATGGTTTATATGGGCAAATCCTACTAAAATTGAATTTGGGGTACACCCATTTATGGAACCGCCCATATATATATATCTCTCTCTCTCCCTATATATCTATCTATATATATATATATATATATGTCCCTATTTATATATATATATAATGTGTGTGTGTGCGTGTGTTCTATCAAACAACAATCATATCATTCCAGCGATTGCTGATTTCTGATTCTTAATGGACGAGGGACGTGGTGAGCAAGTCGTGATCAGGATCCACAGAAATGTCATATTTGCCACACTTGAGGTTCTTCTGATCTTAGTATCCATTGAAAGTGTTGTAGTGGAAACATCATTAGATACCATCTCGGTTTCAACTCACCTTTCCACATTCCAAGCCCCTTGCGGAATGCCATGTGGATACCGCCCCATCCACAGAAGAAGTCCATTGCCCACAAGTCCTGAGCTGAGGATGGTGCAAACAACTGGATGGGTTCTTGAAGCTGGAGAACTGGTTCAGAATCCTGGTGGGTAAAGTCAAATAGGGGTTACGGTTAGCGTTTCTAATTGGGTGATCCTCCAATGGGGAATAGCTTGGCAATGTTTCCCTTCCCAAAAATGATATCTTGGAATTTGAATGTTATACTATAAGTTGTGTGAAATGATATTCATACCGCCCTGAAGGATATTCCAAGGCATCCACCGGGCACAAACTTGGTTCAAGGCACCCGGCGGTATTTTCTCCCCCCAAGAGCATCAACGTAATCACAAAGATGCACCCTTAGTCCAACAGCCAATTCGGAAGAGAACATGTCAAGTAAATTGTTAATAACACTGCGTAGGTTCGATCTTCACTCTTGGTTTTATTAATTGCTGAGGAACATCAGGGGCGGTAGGCCCAATGCTAACATCCAGCAAACTTCTTCTGGAGTCAAGGTGAGGCCACCCATTGCTACGACTTGCGTCACACAAGAGGCTAGCTATACCCTCGATTGATCTGGTTATGTGCTGCTGAAACAAACAAGACACACTGATGTCCACCCTCAGAAACATCAATATAGTTCCAACATACATCATGATGTTGTAGCAGGAAGGATGATGACCAATAAACAAAATATATGTTCGATATCTATATCTATATTATTTAGATCATTGAACAAGTGCACTATTGTAAAGCCTCGATGTGCAATTGGCATCCCTCTAAGGACAGCTGCTGAGATCTGGGCCTTTTCCAATGGTTTGGCCATGGTTGACCACGTGGTCAGCCAGTGTTCGCAGCAGGCCCCCCGAGTACTTGTGTTGACACATGATTCGATGTCAACTAATGACAACCACGGGTGACTTTGCATGGCAACACAGATCACACATTCCACCCAGTTTTAAATTTGAATGACTTTGAAATCTCATGAATAGGATATAAATACTGGTATGATGAGCCATGCCTGGAACGTCACCTTCCCCAGTGTGCTTTTAAGAAAGCATACCAACTTGAAAGACCATTTTTGTAAAAGAGTGAACTTTTTAGTCCACTGTTACTGACTCTTCGGCTCGTTCATCTTGGCGCTGGGCATTCTTATCTCTAAGAGACCTCATGCCTGTCTCCCACATAGTCATAACGCTGTTGCGGTCAGTCCCTTTGTCGAAAGCTGTGGCCTAGGCATCAGGTGCTGATCCCCTCCCATGCAAGAGTTGCCAACATATAGTGGCCAAACTGATGGACAGATTTTAGATTATGTTTTTTGAAATATGATTTATACATATATATATATACACTGTATTGTACGCATTATATGTAAACATATATGGTGTATATGTATATATGTATATATGTATATATGTATATACGTATATATGTGTATATGTGTATATGTATATTCTGTATATTATGTATATGTGTATGTATATGTATATGTATATGTATATGTATATTTTTTCAAAAGTTGAGTTGGCACGGCTGGGCCCCCAACCACATCGATGTGCAGGTTGACCAGTTCAGCGTACTTGATGTACGGCAACTTGCGCAGGCTGGCGTACACGACCTTTGCAGCTGACATTCTGAGGGATATAGGCTATTAATAAATCTCATTCTGGGGCTAGAACGGAACTTTTTTTTTCGTTTGCAGATCCCTTCTTTTCAATGGTGACGTCACCACGGCTCCAGTAGGGCACCACCTGGGCTGTCATGGCATCATACATCTAATTTCTTGGTACGTGGGAACTCAAAATATACGTTGGATGAGGAACAAGCCTTGCATCGGTCAAGGTTGGGTAACATGCTCTTGATGACCTTCTTTGCGTCACCTCCATCCATTGAAAGTATGCGGCTGGTAACACTGGAAAAGTAAACAAAGTGGGTAAACTGAAAGCATTCATGTTGGTCTGGCCTGCAATTGGCACTTCCTCTACTCCGTCTGGACCTTTACGCTTACCTTGAACTCCGGTTGAAGAAGTTGCAGCTGGCTTCCTGGTTCGTTTGGATGCCTGGGGTTCCTTCTTGGGGCGGCCGCGGGTTGGCTTAGTCTCCCCAGGCACATCAGGTCCCTTCTCTGCAGGCTTCCTGCAATCAGGAAAACAAGACTCTACAATCATGCTATTTGACATTCGTGTAATCAAATTAGATAGGTATATATATATAAATATGGTCATTCTGATCTGATAGACTTGGAATTTAAATCTCTGTCCTCCCACGGCCACGGCCACGGCCACGGCCACGGCCGCGGCCCGAGTCCGCAGGTGGGCTTTCTGTCTTGGTCTCCTTTGTGGCCTTGGCCTTCGCTTTGGCTCGGGCCTTGGCCCGCCTGGAGTGAGAGAGGAATCAAATGTTTTTTGTTTTGGTGAAAAAATGTATACGTATATACATGGGTGACAATATATGTGTTTTTTTGCACTATGAATGTACGACAAGGTACAACTTAGTTTGGCCATCCAGAACATCAGCACAATCTTTGATGTCGTTGACCGGCAAATCAGCCAAAGTATGTTCCAGACTTGGCGCATTCGGGATCAACGGTTCATGATCCTGAGCACGCAGCTTTCAACGGAAAGATATCGAATCAAATAAGGGAATAGGGGTGCCCCAAATTATGTTTTTGAACGTTAACTGGTGATGCCTTGGGGCACCACTGTTTTGAGGCATATATGCATATGCAATTGCCCCAAGTATCAGCGTTTGGGTGATGGGTTGGATCGAACGAATTGGGCAGACAACAAGATGAGAAATTAAACCATATAGCCTGGCCTCAGCTGGTTCGGCCTTCAATGCAGCCCGCTTCTGGGGATCCTAGCAAGAAATGTGTTGTGGTGTAAACTACTGGTATAAATCGCCATGTTCATGTGACTTGTACAGCCGGTTTCATCCAGCCTCAACGTAAGTATTGAGATCCTCATAAGGGTCGGCAGCGCCATCAGCCTGCAAAAGATCGGAAATCCAAAACGATCATTTGTGTTGATTAGAACCCTGAATGCCATGTTCAGCTCACCTTGAGATCTGAAGTGCTTTCAACTCCATCAAGGCCATTACCAGAAGCTTCGCTGGAAACCTGTCAGTTTGAACATTTATAGTGTTTGAAACCATCTGTGAACAAAGATGCAGTGTGATATCAATAGGGTTAAGTTCAATGCAAAATGAATTTGGATGGAATGGCCTCCACAAGGGCCGTGTCTGGAGCAGTGGTTGCCTCCTGGGCATGGGCAAAGAATATAACACATACGATGTATGAAAACCACATGTACAAGTTTCCTGAAAATGGCATTGACACACCATTTTGGGTTCCAGACTTCTGTCTCAGCATGTCCACCCTGGCGGGGAGGAAGCAGGTTTTAACATTTTGGACTAGTGGAGTTATGGCTATGGGACACCTCCTCCAGCATAGCATTGGAGCCATGTGGAGAAACTTCGACGAGATCCTGTTGGAAAATGCACAGGGTCTTTGATAGAATGTCTAAAATACAATGGGCATATTCAAGCGACAAAGCTGCACGATATTTTCCTGAACTGTATTGGTTCTGATTGTTCTTGTCCATCTCAAGAGGTTTGTTCTAGGAACCCATGGTCTAGGCGGCCAAGCCTGATCTGGCATTGGCAATGTTTGCATGGTATCCACAGCTGATCCGGTCCCATCTGAAGTATTGTGATCTCCCTCAGGTGTCCCAGTCGAAGATGGAACTGTTGGATCGGGGTTTTCATTGGCACGTTCAGCCTCCCTTGCTGACAGGATATCTTTCAGCTGCATGACCAGCTCATTCCTCAGGCAACAGGACAGATTGCGCGGCCCATGGTGTAATATACAGCCATCACTCCTAGAAAAAATACATCCAACTAATAAGAAATATATATTTTAAAATATATGTAATCAAATTAAATGTATATATTATAATTTTGTATGGGGTGTTTGAAAATAAATATACAGCCATGACTCCTAGAGCGGAGGGGTGTCTTACGCCAAAGTCGGACAACGTAACTTGCCCTGGCTCGGAAAAGGCCAGCCTGAAGGTCGACCCAGGCCTCCAGGATGGCTGAGTGATATTGACGATGTGGAATTAGTTCATTTCATGGATGGGTTCCCTAGTTTGGAAACAAACATTGAATTGAGCCTGCTCATCCTTCTTGAATCGCACTTGCAGCAAGTTGTATTCAGAATTCACCCATAGGAAGGCTGCCTGAGATGATCATCATGCACACGTCTATTCAGAAATGTCGATTCACATGAAGGAATTCATCATTGATCAGCATTCATGTATGAATCAAGATCTTGATCTATTGTTGAACAATAAATCTATCATCAGGGATGATCATTAGGCTACAAAGTGCTGCCTTGTT